CAAACTGCACCCTGAGCTCCACCAGCCCCCCCAGTACCAACCTGAACCCTCCCAGCTCTGTCAGGCTCCCCCCCCACAACCTGCTGCCCCCCAATTCTGCCATCATCCCTCAAGTATAACCCCCTGCTCCAGAAGCCCCTCAGTCCAGATGTGGTTTCAGGGCAGTGCTGCAGGAGCCCAGGAACTCGGCCCCCCCGGAGATTGCACCCCAAGCCATGCACAAGCATTCCCCCAGCTCACACCGGAGCCCTGAACCGCAGGCCCAGGGCAAGGTACAGCCCACCCCCCGGCACTGCCCGAAACGACACCCCAGCCTTGGCACTGCCTCTGCGTGCCCGCTCCCGTCCCCTGGGGGGGCTGTGCCCTAGTCCATGGCCCCCGCCAGGGCCAGAGCACCCCTTACCTGGGGGGAGCTTCTTTGCACACAGCTCCATGACATCCACGCCCGGCTAGTCAGGCCCATGGGAGACCCTGCTCGGAGGGGAAGGGAGAGAGCAACAGGTCAGGGCAGCCAGAGCCCCTCCCCTTGGCTCCTGGGAGTGGGGCGCCAATTGGGGGGGACTGATCAGGTCAAACTGGCCAGAGCCAGGAGCAGCACAAGCCCAGCCTGAGCTCCGCGGTGCTGTGCCAGGCCAGCCCTGGGCTCCCCCCAGCCCCCGTCACACCTCTCCTCCACCCCACACCCAGTATTTGCTCTGACAGTACCTAGATGGACCACCGCCTCCGGAATGGCTCGGACTGGGCCAGGCCAGTGTGTGAGCCCCTCGGAGCAGCCCGGTCCCTGGGCCCGGGTGCTCGGACTGCGGACTGCAGGCCTGAGGAACCGCCCAAGCTCCGGCCATTGGTTCCAGGGCAGCTGCTTGTAGCAGACTGGGAGCAGGCGGGACATGTGGTCCAGAGCCGTTCTGGGCAGGGCCTAGAGCCACTAGCCCTTGTGCCCAGGCCTGGCCCTGCCAAGCGCCCCAGGAGCCAGGTGACAAGCCCCCAAAGGAGGCAGGGAGCTCGGGGCCGGCCCTGCGGGTGACAGGAGTCTCCTCAGAAGGATCGGCCGGGGGGCGCCAGGGAACTGGCACAGCAGCGCGGCTGGTTCCTGTCCAGCGTGGGCAGCAGGGCCAGGGTGCCCGGAGCGCCTGCCCAGGGATATGCCTGGCCCACTCCGCAGTGAGGTGTCTCCGAGCCAGGCTGCTCCGGGAGCCCGAGGCATTCAGCTCACACACAGCACCCAGCCCGGGGATGGGCGGGCACCAGAGGCTGCCCCCGGAGCCCTGGGTTCAGCCCAAGGCCCTGCCCTGCTCTCTTGCATGGTGTCCTAGGCGCCCGGGAGCGGCTGCAGGCCCACTGACAGTGATAGGACGCTGCTGGCACGCCCTGCTCTGCCATCGCCCTGGCTTCCAGAGGGGAAACCGAGGCCGGGGGCTTCGGCGCTGGTCAGGAGCCCTGGGCGCAGTTCCCATCTCGGCCAATGTCTCCATGCCATGGGGAAAGCGCCTCTCACCCAGCTGGGCAGACGCTGCTCCCGGCCCAGGGTGGAGACTTCCCCACACAGAGCCCCACTCCTGGACGGTGCCCGGAGCGCCCGGCCGTGGGCCTCCAGCAGTGCCAGTCCAGTGCAGGACGGGGCCACCGAGGCAAGAGCCCGAACGGCAGTTCCCATCTCGGCCAATGTCTCCATGCCATGGGGAAAGCGCCTCTCACCCAGCTGGGCAGACGCTGCTCCCGGCCCAGGGTGGAGACTTCCCCACACAGAGCCCCACTCCTGGACGGTGCCCGGAGCGCCCGGCCGTGGGCCTCCAGCAGTGCCAGTCCAGTGCAGGACGGGGCCACCGAGGCAAGAGCCCGAACGGCGGGGTGTGGCCACCAGGGGCAGGCCACGGAGCCAGGCCCTGACACCAGCGTCAGCAGCATCTGCCGCCAGGCCAGGACCTGAGAACAGACACCCAACCACAGGAAGCGGGAGGGGGAGGGGCCGGAGCCGTGAGGTGCAGAGTCCACACGGAACTGGGGGATGCAGGGGAGCCTGGAGCACAAGGAGCCCAGCAATGGGGGTGGGGAGGGGGGTCACCCCCCCCGGCCCCACGCCCACCCCAGGGAATGCTCCTGGACAGGCTGCCCCGAGCAGAGCGCTGTGGGCCAGGGGCAGGGACACCCAGCGACCCAGGCCTGGGCAGGAACCGGACACCTGGGTTCCCTGGCAGAGGAGCGGGGTCACCTCCCTGCTCCCCCCACCCTCCCCAGGGGCCTGTAACCCCAGAGCTAGGACAGCCCGCCCCAGGCAGGGCCTGGCCCCCTCTGGCTGCACCGCTCTGTGGGGCCCGGGTACCACGCTGGGCGGCCAGCCCCACGGCTCCCCTTTGGGCCTGCAATGCCAGGGGGAGAGTAAACGTGCTGGGCCCATTCCCAGGGGGCTGCGGGCACAGT